GAAGTCAAAGTATCTTTATTTGCAAATGATATGAGAATGTACATAAGCAACCTCAAAAACACTACCAGAGAATTCCAACAGCTGATAAACACTTTTAGCCAAATGGCTGGATACAAGATTAACTCAAAAAAAGTCATTAGCCCTCTTATGTACAATTGATAAATGGACTGAGAAAGAAACCATAGAATCAACAACTATTTTACAATAGTCTCAAATAATATAAAATATATTGGTTTAAATATAATGAAACAAGTGAAAAAGTCTTCAGAAATAAACTGAAAAAAATATCAGAAGATGGAAATATTGACCATGCTCATGGATCTGTAGGATTAACAGTAAAATTACTATCTTATCAAAATCAATCTACAGACTCAATGCAATCCCCATTAAAATGTCAACACAATTCTTTACAGAACTTGAAATAACAATGCTCAATTTCATATGCAAAACAAGGAAAATACAGGGTAGCTGAAACAATCTTGTACAATAAAAGAACTTCTGAAGGTATCACTACCCCCAATTTCAAGCTCAACTACAGAGTTGTAAGTGGATCAACGGAATCAAATCAAAGACTCAGATATAAATACACACACACATACACACACCTGGTTTTCAACAAAAAGCCAAAATTATACAATGTAAAACAGTAAGTTTCTTCAACAAAAAGTGCTGGCATAACTGGAGGTCAGCATGCAGAAGATTGCCAAGGGATCCATATTTATCACCCTGCACAAAATTCAAGTTCAATTGGATCAAAGACCTCAAAATAGATCCAGAACACTGAACTTGACAGAAGAGAAAGTGGGAAATAATCTCAAATGCATTGGCACAGGAGACAACTTCCTGAACAGAAAACCAATGGTACAGGCACTAAGATGGACAATTAATAAATGAAACTTCATGAAATTGAAAAGTTTCTGTAAGGCAAAAGACATTGTCAATAGGACAAAATAGCAGTCCACAGAATAGGGAAAGACCTTCTCCAATCATACATCTGAATGAGGGCTGATTTCCAAAACATATAAAGAACTCGAGAAACTAGAAATCGATTAAAAAATGAGGTAATTATCTAAACAGAATTCTCAACAAAAAATCTCAAATAGCTGAGAAATCCTTAGCTATCAGGATAGAAGCCAAAACGACTCTGAGATTCCATCTTACACCTGTCAGAGTGGCTAACATCAAAAACACAACAGCTCATGCTGAAGAGGCTGGAGAGCAAGGGGAACACTCTTCCAATACTGGTGAGAGCATAAACTTGTACAGCCACTTTGGAGGTCAGTGTGGGTGGTTTCTTGGAAACCTGAGTATCAACTTGCCAAAAGACCAAGCTATAATGCTCTTGTGCATATACCCAAAGAATGCTCAAGCGTACCACAAGGACACTTGCTCAACTATGTTCATAGCAGCATTATTTGTAATAGAAGCAACCTAGATGCTCATTAGCCAAAAGAATGGATAAGGAAAATGTGGTACTTTTACACAATGGAGCATTATTCAGCTGTTAAAAAGGACGCTAGGAAATTTTAAGGGAAATGGATGGAACTAGAAGAAATCATCCTGAGTGAGGTAACCCAAACCATGAAAGACAAGCATGGTATGTACTCACTAACAAGTAGATGTTAGCTGTAAAATAAATGATAACTATGCTGCAAGCCACAGATGCAGAAAGACTAGGTAACGGGGAGGGTTTGTGTGCAGGGTGGGATATGGAACTCCCTGAGTAGGGAAAATAGAGATTTCATGAGTGTACTGAGGACAGGTTGAGATAGGAATATGAGCAATCAGGTTGGGAGGGGATGTTCACGGAAGGGAAGAGTGCTGATGGGGTAGTGCTGAAGCTGAGGGAATTTTGGGTGGGCTGGAATCCTGGCTCAGGGGACTCTACCAGGTGCCTATAGGGAGGATACCAACTTAGACTCCTAGCACTAGTGGATAAGTAGCCTGAACTGGCCACCTCCTGTGACCAGATTGGTTCCTGGCCCAATTGTCACCAGACAGGTAACATCCAGCAACTGATAGAGGCAAATATAAACCTCCACAGCCAAACATTAGGCAGACTTCGGGAGTCCTGCAGTTGGAGGACAAAGGAGTGTAGGAGCCAGAAGCATCAAGGATCCTACAAGAAAACCCACAGAAGTAATCTCCGTTCATAAGGATTCACAGAGACTGAACCAACAACCAGGGAGGCTGCAGGGGATTGACTTGGGCCCTCTGCATATATGCTACAGTTGTGTAGATGGGTTCTCTTGTGGGACTCCTAACAGTGAGAGAAGGAGTGTCTTTGACTCTTTTACTGCCTTTTGGGACCTTACTCCTCAACATTATTGCCTTGCCCAGACTTAATACATGGGGAGGTGCTTAATCTTATTGCAGCTTGATATGTCATGTTTTGTTGATACTCATGAGAGACTTGACCTTTTCTGGATTGATATGGAGGAGGAAAGGATTGGTGTGTGGAAGGGAATGGGTGGAGTGGGAAGAAGGGACTGGGAGGGGAGGATGAGGGAGGCTTCAACTGGGATGTAAAATAAATAGATGAATAAAGAAAGGAAAAAGGAAAAATTTAAATCTAAAAACTTTTATGTATGTATATACATATGCATGTATACCACATATATGTATATATTTATATACATTTAAGTAAGCATAAAATCCTTCTCTATGACTTTTTCAATCATTGTTATTGTCTTTTATACCTCCTACATCCATCTTTATTAGCATCAGTACTGCTTTCCCCCATTTTCCCATTTCTCCTTTCATAGCACCTGTGTCTTACTACCCTCTTACCTAAATCACCTTCCCTGACCCAAAACTATGGTGTTTATAGGAAAATGATTACAACTTGAAGTCAAGCTAACTGAAAGAAGCCAGAATATGGAAGTCATATTCTGGTAAGCATAGACCACAACGATCCCTGGATAGTAGGCTTGAAAATTTTGCATAATTTTCTCTGCTGCTCACTCACAATATGTGAGTTCTTACAAAACATTCATCATTATCCCTGGAAGTACTAGAGTTGAAGACTAAAAGTAAATTCTATGAATTAATGTAATTTTTCATATCTCTCCCTTCTCCTACTCAAGAACCCCATCCTTTCTGACTTAGCTCAAGTACTACACTGTGACACTGAATAAAAAGGGTACAATCCTTGAGATCAGGTCAAATTTGAGAGAAAATCTCCCTTTTGCTCATTACATTTGACTGTGTGTAGGTTCCATGGCGTATCTCTACATAAATATCCTCTACCAGCACTGGATACTCAGGAGCTCATTTTCAGAATGGAGATTTATTTAATTCAGTCAACTCAACAAAGTATTTACTAAGTACATTATGCATTTGGCTGCCTTTAGTTAACATGGCTTATAAAACTCCTGCCTTTTTTAAACTACATTACAGAATGTAAAGAGACAAATGAGAGAGTCAGTATGTCTGTCAAGTGAAAGCACTACAAAGAAAAGAGAAACAATGTGAGACAATAGGTGATATATATATATATATATATATATATATATATATATAAAGATACAGGAGTAAATACATTGATATTAATCTTAGTGCAGTGTCTGGATGAGTAAAAGATGGAAAAAGCACCAGCTATTGCTACAGCTGGTATTGTATGAATAATGTGGTTTGATATTTTTCTCACTTCCCAGTATTAATATTTTTCTATTTTTTATTTTGTTTTATATTTCAACCACAGTTCTCCCACCTCGCCTCCCACTCCCTTGCTTTCTCTCACCCCCTCACCTTCTTCCACCCTCCCTCAGCTCCACCCTAGCCCATGCCCAGTCCACTCTCTTCATAGGTAAGGGCTGCCATGAGGAGTCAATATAGTCATGTACAGTAGGTTGGGACAGGGCCCAGCCCCTCTCCCATACATTATAAGAAAGTTTCTTTGAGAGTCAGTAATCCCTAAATGAAGACTCAATGGGAAAAAAACACCTTAAACTTCAAACAGCCACGAGACTAGTTTTGGATGAACATAAGCTTAAAAGACTTCCCTATGGTAACAAGGTCTTTTATCTATATGCAACTATCTCTTAGCAAGCATGTCTCTCTATGGACTCTCATTCTTTTCTGCACAAGTCTCTATGCATGAACTCTTACATTTGGTCAAAGAAAGGGAAAGCAAATACTAGGCATTACACACAGTGAAGCATTAATTTCTGTTTTTGGAATGGCTTGCATCTGTAAAGTTACTTGATTGAAGGTCACCATAAACCTGTAATTAGACTGTGAATGAAATTACTGTCACCTTGGATCTGTGAAGCAGGATGACATTTAGAGCAACTACATTTACTTAGGGAGCATCTTTTCATTGTCTTTTATCAATGTGAAATAAATTAAAATTTTCAACCTAATGTAACATACCATACTAAGTCTAGTAAACTACAATTATGGCCTTTCTTTCTCTAAAAAGAAATGAAAAATAGAATAGATGCCTTCACAAGAGCATCATGAGGAGTATTCATTCAAATGAATCATTTCTTGTCAGTAGAGATGGACTACTGGCAAAACTCAGTCAACAAACTTTCCCACTATGAGATATGGAACACTCTCCCATAGTAACCATGCCCCTAGCCTTGACAACTAATACAAATTTATGTGTAGAAAGCTTTCTAATATACTAAACTCATACTATGAAGCACTCAGATGTCCCACCTCCCACACTCTCCATTTGTCTTGAAGAGTGTGGGTTACTAGAAAAACTGATGAAAATCACATATGCCAGAACAAATCTTCTCTAGACCTACCAGAAAGGAAAATATTCCTGTACTGGAATGACCAGACTCAGAAATCTGGAACATCAAGCACCAGAGATCACCACTGGCCTCAGAGAAAGTGAAATACTGGCAGAATGCTGAACAATTTCCGAACTGCAACCTTAGGCAGGGTGAAAGGCAAGAACACCATGTGATTATGCTGAAATACGGAAGGAGGGGGGATATGTGACAAGAATAGCATTTTGGAAAAAATATAGCTAAATACAGCAGAAACTAGCAGTCACCAGTGTTTCCAGTCTCTTCAGCATCAGGAGGATGGAAGAAAGAACAACATTGGCTTCACATAGGATGGAAATCTCGTTGGTCCTGCTACTCCTGAGCCAACTAATATTGTTCACCTATGGTAAGGTAGCACACTGATGCCTGACTACCACTTCTACCTCTGGCAGAGGATGTGGGTGTTGATGTGTTTACTGAGAAAAGCTTTTTCCTAATGGTCAGTCACAGTTACTGTGACTACAAGTTTTCTGAAATTTGTGCAGAAGGGAGGGAAGTCATTGAAGTCTGATAAAAGTTCCAGAAGCTGTCCTGGGTAGGAATTGAAATGCTTCTTCTCTTGGAAAGTATCTGCATGATTTTCCAGTGTTTCAGGAATATCAGAAGATCCAATGTCATGCACACCTCCTATATTCTCCTTTTCCCTTGAAATTCTGCAATAATAACCAGCTTCTCATTTCCAAGTTTTGATTCTTGCTACAATATACAGTTCTCAACAAATAAATGTTTAATAGGTAAGTGTGAGCATAGAAGTAACCTGTAGCCAGGGACAGTGGGGCACACATTTAATCCTAGCACTTCAAAGTCAGAGACACTCTAATTGATTTCTGTGAGTTCAAGGACACATTGGCCTATATAGAAAGCTTCAGGTCATCTTGTGCTGCATGGTGAAACTCAGCTTCTAAATAAACAAATAAAAGTATCATTACCATGAATTAGAATTATCTACAAGTGCTTAGCATTTGCTGTTCATACACTTTTAGAGCACAGGCATTTACTAATCTCCAGGAGCATTTCCAAATATTGCATGTGTTGTACTTAATTCACCTCTTTGTTTCTCTCCAAAGACTTCTCACAGAACACACATTCTTCCTTTTTCCAGGCCAGCACTTCAAATGTCTGAAGAAAGGAAGAAACTGTGTCTCCTCAATTCCCCTCTTATCCAAGCTAAATATCTCTAGCTTCTTCAAGTAAATGACTTGGTATATTACTTACTGCTGAGATAACTCTCTGCCTTATGGACATAGTAGTACAGTTGCAGGGGCTGTTTATGGGAATATAATTCTAGATACACAGCCCAGCAGAGGCTGGGCTATATCATAGCGGCATTTCTGCGTATCTTCCTCCACACTCGTTCATAATTCAAGGAAATGAAATGCCATTTAGGACACTGAGCACAAGTAAGAACTAAGTAGGTCTCAGTATGGGGCAAAGGGATTCTTACTCAATTTCTGATTTTTTTCCCTCTTCCTAGAGGGCAAAACTGAATCAATCATTACTTGAAGCATCTAGCAATATTGAATTATGATTATTTGCTCTTTTTGTTTTTACCAAAGTTGGCCTGTGTAGTGGATAAAATATGCTATGAATGTTCCAAGATTTCCTGATGATGTCAAAGCCCTTAGAGTCAACTTCAGTGTCTCCATTAATAGACATTCTGGCACTTAGCAGTGTGTCCAGGAAGCTGGATAGCATAACCTCACTCTGTTCCCAAGGCATCATATTCTACTCCTCTATCTGAATATGTGCTAAATAAAGATTTATTTTGTATACCTTTCATTTTCAAACTATGTCTACCAGGAAAGACATTGCCTAAATACAACCCCTATCCCGAGTTGAATAAAATACAAAATCATCAAGATATGAGTTTATGTATGAAAAATTCTAATAAAATGCAATGGATCCCCACCTTTCTTTGCCTCTGGGCTCTTCTGTCCAGCCCATCAAGGTTCTACCACAATCACTAGCACAACCAGCTCTAGAGATTTACTCAGGTTCTTTTCTTTTCCAGACCAAACATGGATGAAATCGTTGCCCCTCTGAGGATGTATTTTTCCAATATTTTTATAAGAACTAAAAGAAATGGAAAAAAGAAAGAAGGAATAAGGATGAAAAATCAGCTAGCCTTTGCAAAGTACAAGTTTCAAAGCTAATAGCTAATGGTTTGGTTAAATAGGCATCCAGGCTTTTTCCTTCACCGTTAGATTTCCCTATTGATTATGTCTTTCACATTTGCCGAAAAGACCTTGAGTTTGTGTCCCAATCATTGAGTCTTTCTCTTGAGTGAACAAAAAAGATAATAGAGCAGAGGGCTGGTTCAAGCATGTATCTGCCCAAAATAAACTACTTTAGTTTCAACTCTTCACCATTCTTCCTACATCCCATTTGAAAACGGTGAAAGAAAAACTATAGACATGTAAAATATCATAGAATCCCTAGAGATTAGTTTACCCTAACTCTCCACAAAATACTTGGAAAGAAAATTTGGCCCTTCAGTGTACTCAGAGTCACCTCCTAGCAAAACAGTACCGTAAAGGAGACTTGAAACCGCTATAGTTTAAGAATGTTAAGGAATACATCCCACAAACTGACTTGGATTGATGAGAAAGCTAACAGAAGAGCCCAGGAATGATGAAAGTATGATTGAAGGAAAAGTGTTCCTTAGAAAGCTATTGAGCCTGTCCCTCACACCCTCATTCTGCTGACCATGTCATCTGTGCTTGCTCATTTTCCTTTGTTCCCTGTCTTTAGGCCATCCCATCCTACAAGCGCCAGAGAGTGTGATAGGGACCTGGAAAAGGGATGTGACACTTCATTGCAACTATGTTCCCCTGAGAGGCTACAGTCAAGTTTTGGTAAAATGGCTGGTACAGCGTGGCTCTGACCCAGTCACCATCTTCCTACGGGACTCCTCGGGAGACCATATCCAGCAGGCAAAATACATAGGCCGCCTAAAAGTGAGCCACAACATTCCAGGGGATGTGTCTCTCCAACTGAATGTCCTACAGATGGATGACAGGAGTCACTACACATGTGAGGTTACCTGGCAGACCCCTGATGGAAATCAAGTGATGAGGGATAAGATTATTGAGCTCCGTGTCCAGAAATGTAAGTCACAGTGAAAGCAGAAAGCATTGACAATCAAAGTCACAATAGAGTACTGTATTCCTAGACACATCTGAGAACTTGAGAGGCCTCGGTTTCTATGTATATAGGTTTTCTCTTGTTCTATGCGCTAATCACAGGATCCTCGGGGTCATTGCCCAATTCGAGAATTTAAATAGTGTTGGGAAATACAAATGCATTACTTTTAAAAACCTCTCCCTCTGCCACCCCATTTCTCCTGTGCTTAGAAAAGCCTTTCTGAGAGGGGTAGTTCCCCATTAGCTGCATTTCCCATTTTACCACAAAACTTTACGAACTGAAAGCAGCATTGTCCTCTGCATAACTAAAGCCCAACCTCTGTCCATTCACACCCAACCATATAAAATTCTGTGCAGCAGTAGACCTTGTTGCCAATGCTTGCTTTCAGCCACTTTTCCTGGGGTTTTCTAGAGTTTGTGTGTGATTCTTCCTAGATTATTTGCTGACTCATCTTCTATTCAATACTTTAAGTGTTCTCAAAGTTTATATTACTGTTATTGTACATCTAGAGTAGGTTCACTTCACTCAGGTCGAATATTTTCATTTCTAATCTTTCAGTCTACAGGTCATCTCTCTCTACACTCTTTTAATTATTTCTTTTCCAGTACAGTAATTTTTAGTTGGATTGTAATACCATGGGAATTGATAATTTTTCCCTCTGTGTGTTTTAGAGGTCGTAACCAGGAAATCATTGCCTCTAATCAAGTATTTTTGCTAACTTCTAATAGATTCAGTGTTCCTGATCTCACGTTGATATCTTTAATCCATTTTGGCTGATTTTTACACAGGGTAGTAGAGGTCAGGTTTCAATCTTGATGATGCCCACTTTTCCCAACACCATTTATTGAAACGGTTTCTCTGATGTGATTTTGTACATTGACAAGCAATTAGTTGGTTTCAGGCATATCAGTTTATTTCTGGAATTTCTAATCTGTTTTACTGACCTATGTGTATTTGTATAGTAGTAGTGTACTGGTTTTGGCATTTATACTTCTGTAATATGTCCCAAAATCATATATTGTAATGACTTCAGCCTTCTATGAGAATTGTGCGTCAAAATACTTTAGTCATCTCAGAATTATATTTACCTAATTATTCTTGAGTAGTGAATATAGTTTATTTGCTTGGAATATTAGAGTCTTTTAAAATTATTTTATCATTATTGTTGTTGTTGTTGTTTCTATCCTGACTACAGCTTCCCCTTCCTCCTCTCCTTCCAGTCCTTCCCCTAACCTCCCCTCTATGTTTCCTGTCAATCCATTCCTCCTCCATTTCTATTCAAAAAAGGCAGGCCTCTCATGGATATCAATCAAGCATGGCATATCAAGTTGCAGTAAGACTGGACATTTCCCCTAATATTAAGGTTGTACTAAGACAACCCAGTACAAGGAATAGGGTCCCAAAATCTAACAAAAGAGTTGAAGACAGCCCATGATCTCACTGTTAGGAATCCTACCAGGCGACCAAGTTACACAACTGTCACATACATGCAGAGGGTCTAGGTCAGTCCCATCCAGGCACCCTGGTTATCAGTTCAGTCTCTGTGAGCCCCCATGAACCCAGGTGAGTTGATTCTATGGGTTTTCTTGCGATGTCCTTGATCCTCTGACTCTTACAATCCTTTCTCCCCTTCTTCCACAGAATTGCCTGAGCTCTGCCTACTGTTTGGATGTGGGTCTTGCATCTGTTTCCATCAGTTGCTGGGTGAAGTCTCTCTCTAATGACCATTAGGCTAGGCGTCAATCTATGAGTATAGCAATATATCATTAGGAATCATTTCATTGACTTATTTTCCAGTCATGTTTGCTTCTATCCTAGGTGTCTAGACCATCCAGCCTCGGATTCCTGGCACTCCAGGCAGTTTCAGGGGTGGGCTCACTCTTGTCGCATGGATCTCAAGCTGGACCAGTCATTGGTTAGCCTGTCTCACAATTTCTGAACCACCTTTACCCTAGCACAGCTAGTAGGCAGAACGAATTGTAGGTTGAAAGTTATGTGGCTTGGTTAGTCTTATGAAATACGTTATTTGCAAGTACCCCCCCCCCGTTATTCATGTTGTATTCCCATGCACCACATTAATATCTGTTATCTGTAGAGATCAGAAGAGGGATAAGATGCTCTAGAACTGGAGTTATAGATGGTTGTAAGCCATCACATGGATGCTCAGAACCAGACCCAGGTCCTTTGCCAGAGCAGCCAGTGATCTAAAGGGTTAAGCCATCTCTCTGGTCCAACATGGTGTTGCCTTTTTACTTTCATGATAGTAACCTTCAAGGCCCCAATGTTTTTAATTTTGTTGAAGTCTAGTCTGTTGTTTTATCTTAACTTGTGTTATTATAGCTTGTCCCACCAGACCCAACATTCTTTAACTTGCTCAAGGACTGGTAGAACTAAATAGTGAAGCTCTTTGACCTGATCTTTTCTTTCTAAGTAGTTGTTTAACTAGCAATTCAATAATTTTTTCTTATTTAAATTCCATAATTTCAAATTTCCTGGCTCATCTTTAGAAGTTAACATTTACTTCATAAGATTTATCTATTATTTTCATGTATGTGAATGTTTTGCCTGCAGGCATGTGTATCAGTTACTTTTCTATTGCAGTAAGAAAATACTATAACCAATGTATAAAGGAAAGAGTTTAATTGGGCTTACATCTCCAAAAGGTTAGAATCCATGATGCCAGAGCAAAGGCATAGATGCAAGAACAATTAGAACTCGCATCTTGATCTAAAAGCAGGAGGCTGAGAGAGAGAATACTGGAAATGGCAGAAATCTTGAAACTTCAAAGCCCATTTCAAGGGACACATTTCCTCCAATAAGGCCATACCTCCTAAGCCTTCCCAAACTGTTGCACCAACTGAGGACCACAGCTTCAAATATGTGTGCTTATAGGGGCTGTCTCCGTTCAAACCACCATAATATATAGATGTGCAAAGTACCTGTCTAGTGCCCATGGAGGTCAGAAGAGCACATAGATTCTCTGGACCTTGAACTATATACAGTAATAAATGGCTATGTCAATGCTGGGAACCATACCCAGGTCCTCTGCAATAGCGAAAACAACTCTTAACTACTAACTCAATACTACAGGCCCCATTTCTAACAACAGTTTGAGAACATGCTAATTATTTCAGATATTTTAAAAGTTTATCCAGATTGTTTTATACATAAAATAAGGTCGGTATCAAACAATTTTCCATGTGTACTTGATAATAGTATTGACTCTACTATTATTATATGAAGTATTCTACATATGCCACGATTGGTTAACGGTACTATTCAACCCTTGAACCTCCTTAATAATCTTCTTTATAGTTGTTGTACACATTGTTTAAAGTGGGATATTGAATTCATCTCTCTCTCCAACTTTACTGTTTCTTCATGAATTTTGGGGGGCTCTGTTATTATCAGTATATGCTTATAAATGAATTTTTCTACTTCACAAAAAAAATTTTACAATTGCAAATTGTTCTTCTTGGAACCTAGGGAAATTTTTCTCAAATATAATTTGTCTTATACAGTTATATCTTGGCTTTATCTTGACAAATGACTGCATGGTACATCTTTTGGCATTCTTTTACTTTAAAACTTTTTTCCTTTGAGTATTGTAATATCGTTTTTGAACTTTTGACTGTTTGAGGGGCCCTCCACCAAGCACCCAAATAAATCAAACACGGAGGCTCATTCTTAGTTATGAATGCCTGGCCGTGTCTTGGCTTGTTTCCAGCCAGCTTCTCTTAAGTTATCCCATCTACATTTTCTCTCTGGGCTTTTATGTTTCTTACTTCTGTATATCTTACTTTTCTTCTTACTTCATACCTGGCTGAGTGACTGGGTGACTGGCCCATTACATCATTCTCTCCTTGTTCTCTTGCTCCTTCTTCCTTTTCCTCATTTCTCCTTCTGTTTATACTCCCTACCTGCCAGCCCCACCTATCCTTGCTCCTGCCTCACTATTGGCCATTGAACTCTTTATTAGATCATCAGGTGTTTTAGACAGGCAAAGTATCCCAGTCTCATAGAGTTAAACAAATGCAGCATAAACAAAAGCAGAACACCTTAAAATAATATTCTACCACAGAGTATTAAGCAAGCACACCATATAGTTAGATTTGATAATTTGAGACTCTCTGCCTTTAAATCTTAAATTTTCTACTCATATTTAAACTAATTATTAATAAGGTAGGATATATATCTACCAATTTTATATGTGTAGTCTTTATCCTTTGTGCTTATTTCTACATTCCTCCATTGATTCTACCTTTGATGCTTAATAGATCATTTCTAGTATATTATATAGTTCAAATATTATTCAGTTTACTGTGCTGGCTAGTTTTATGCCAGCTTCATATAAGTTAGAGCCATTTTGGATGAAGCAAACTCAACTGAGAAAATGTCCCTATTGTACTGATGTATAAGCAAGCCTGTGGTAAATTTTCTTGGCTGATGATTGATGTGAGAGGGCCCAGTTTACCACAGGCAGTACCACCCATTGGGCTGGTGATCTTGGGTCCTATAAGGAAGCAGGCTGAGTACGCCGTGGGGAGAAATCCAATAAGCAACATTCCTCCATGGCTTCTGCTTCTGAAGATCCTGCCTCTAGGTTCCCACCATGAGTCCCTGCCATGACTTCTGTAAGTAATAGCGCATGACCTGAGGTTTGTAAGCTGAAATAAACTCTTTCCTTGTCAGGTTGCTCTGGGTCATAGTGTTTTATCACAGCCATAGAAATCTTAATTAAGACATTTACTAAGTATTTTCATTATTTCTGTCCGTGCAATATAATCAATTCTTAATTTATTTTATTTATTCAATTTAATTTCATAGTATACAAAAGGATGTTTGTATACACCTCAATTTCTTATCATTTAATTCTATCATTACCGCAAATTACTTTTTAGTATATTATAATGGTATGAGTATTGATTTCGAATTATTGTTTTCTGGGGCTGGAGAGATGGCTTAGCCATTAAAGGCTGGGCTCACAACCAAAAATAGTATCGTTTTATGAAGTGTTCTGTTGTTAATTTTTAAGTCAGGTTGCAAAAGTATGTTTGCACTCAATATTCGCCTCTACAGTTACTCTACTGGTGCTTTTTTATTTCTTCATGTTAGTTTTGATATGAGCCACTGCACCTTTATTTTAGCTTAAAGAATGCCCTTTGACATTTCTTATGGGTCCCCTCTGCTAGAGAATATTCTCATAATCATTATTTTCTTGGAAATGTCTTGGTTTCTCCTTCATTTTCATTTGGGGAGTGTTTGTATTTTACATGGGGGTTTTCTATGCTGCTCAAACTAAATTTATACTTGTAGTTGAGACTACGAGAACAAAGTTGCTCTACTTATTTGTTTTTTATTTGTTTTATTATTTGCTTGTTCAGGTTGGTGATTTTTAAAAACTAGGTTTGCATAGTCTTTTGAATTCATTGTCATGAGGTAGCCACTGAATTCATTATTTGATTAGCTTAGAAGTCAGCTAATAACTTAATAGAGTTTTTCTTAACTGCCAGGAGCAAATAAATCATGTATTATTTACCGCAGAAATATGTTTCTTGTTTAGCAATGATATCAATGTGCATCCAGTTTGCAGTTATGGCACGTTGTTTATTCTCTGTTAGCATGAAACCTGAAGGCTAACCATAAGTGTGACCCTATGCCTTTCTTATATTTTTTCTGTATATACACAAGACTTTAAGAAAGGATATGACATCCTTGACTCTGGGATGTTGTCAAACTTTTAAAACTTCTTGGAGATGTCTCATTTGTAAGCATTTCTTTTAAAATTCTTGGTTACTCTCTTCTTTCTCCAAACTGTTATCCATTGCTTTAGGCTTCTGTGTGACAAATTTTCTCCTAGCCACAGAGAGAGATTTTCAGTACAGATGCTAAATAAAACAAGCATTTGAAGTCACATTTTCAAGAAATCATTAGATAGGTCAAATAAAGATAATATTTCTGGAATGAACTGCCTACTCTCACACCTGGAATAGGGTATTAGATTTTATTACCTCTGAGGGAAGCTGAAATGCCACAAAGCTTCATGTTATTACAAAAACTGGGCTGTTTTTCTTCCATAAACACCATAAATTCCTATGAACCAATTTCCAAAATTCTGGGGAACTATATCGAAATATTTCAGTTTTGCCTTTATTTCTGCGAGGAGGTAAATTTTTAGTACTAATTATTTCACCATTTTCATTGAAGTCACCGAATAACACCTTCTTTGATAGAATTCTGAAGTCTTTCTCAAGGATGAATCACTATATTTTAGTTAAAAGTTAGTGATTACTAAAATATATTTCCTCAACCAAGTTTTCAGACCCTGTCAACTCTAGATATAGATTCATTGAAATTCTTTGAATCTTGACATATGAACTCTACATAAGAGTGACTTGTGAGGAGTAATAAACAAGCAATAGAAGTTACCAGCATCATGAAGGGAGGGTTGAGAGATCCAACCTAATTCCTAATCTTACTAGTATCTTCAACTGTTTATCTAAGAGTATAAAATTCTTTAACGAGGTTCATTTTTCCTTGCAGACTCCTCCAATCCACGTATAATTAATACTGAACCTCTTACAACCATTCAATCCTCTTTGGAAGGTAAGTTTTACTAAAGCTTTGTTAAAGAGTTCTTAAAAATGTTTAGAAATCAAGGATTTTCAATCCCATTGACTTTGGGCAAAGAGATCACTGTGTTACTCAGAGACATCATTGTAGTAAATGAATGAATACAAAGGAAACACAGCAAAGATTTAAGGGTAGGGGAAAACTTGAATCATGAATATATACTTTTGTTTGTGAAAAACAAGCCAAAAGAAAGCATTGTATCACATTTTTCTAGCCTGATTTATTGTGACTTTGAGCATAATACTTCTTCTGTGTACATATTCTTTCCATTGATAACCATTTATAGCAAAAATTGAGATGTTTTGCCTCATATTACAATATAGACCAATGATATGGCTTGTTGCAAGAAATTTGACCCCACTGTGAACCCCCAAGACTGTTAATAAAATAAATCTTGGATCAGGGAGTAGAGTCGGTCAATAGATGACAAGAATTAGCCATAGAGAGTACAGAGGACCCAGGAAGATGGATAGAGACATGAATAGAAAGGAGTAGGGAGGGACTTGGAGATTTGTAGCCTTTTTAGTTTGGGACAAATTGAGAGATGTTCTCTTGCTGGGTCTCCGGCCAAAAGGAAGACCAACTAGTTGCTTCTCAGCTCCTCTGAGCTATCACACCAACATCTGACTCCCAAATCTTTATTGGCAGATAGAACAATAGACACCTAGTTAAAAACTACATTTGGCTGCAGCAACAGAGCTGATGCTGACAGAACCAGAATCCCCACCAGTGCGTGGCTTGAGCAGCAGAGTGCTGACTGTGGGGCAGCAAAGCTGCAGGTGGTAGTTAAATCATCACTAAATTCAGGTGCAGCCACTAAGCCAACAGAAAAACAATGACTAAACACCCTGGAAGCCCAGAAGAGATCAACAGCAAAGACATCAAGTATTTTCCACCATCCCTGACCACATGCCTTCAGTGCAAGATGAGGCCTCTGACTTACATTCTTTGTTCTTGCAGCAGCAACTAGCATGAAATCAACGTGTGACTGGACCACTAAGATGAATGGAAAGCCTGAGAGGACCACACCTGGCCCAGTGAATGGAAAACATGAGAGGACCACACCTGGCCCAGAGAATAAAAAGCACGAGAAGACCATTGCTGGCCCAAGTAAGAGTAACATTGGGAATTCTATCATTCTTCCTCGACTCTGAACTTTGTAACTCATTATAAGTTCTATATACTCAGCTCCACAAACCATTAAGGAAGAGCCTAAGAGCTAAATTGGGTAGGTAAGATAGAAGGGAAAGACAAAGATACAAGAATGAAAAAAGTCAGATTGAGGTTAAAGAAAGTGATGAATGTGTTCTTTGTTTGTTCTCTATTGTGATAGAAATACACTTCTCAAAGACTGAAAAGATAAAAGTAGGAGTAGGACCATGAACTCAGCCTTCTAACCTAAGGAGACAGTAAGCGGAACAGGTCCTCCACTACTTTAATTCTTGACTAAGAGCTTTTGGAGTAGCTCACAGCTATTCCCCCAACATCTCAGAGATTCGCAAATCAGGAACTCAGGATTAAAATCTCAAAGAGAAAATAATCTGTATTATTTCATCACAAACTTGTAGTCAGCTAATGTGCACTGCTATGACTAAATTTAATCTTAAAATAATAAACGTCTTCCACGTTAATAATTATCTGCTACACTTAAACAATAACATTCCCATTTTCACTTGGGCTGCTACAGGCCATCTACCAGAACTCTCTAGAATATTTCATGTTCTTACAACCAGTTGTTTATTCCAGATATCTCACAGAACATCATGACTCCAATTACCCATCAAATATCTGTTTTGAGTATTCAGTGTGAAATAGTTTGATAACTATTCTCATTGTTTTGTGCACTTACTTTGTACAATTGAGGGCACACTTATTTTTATAAATCTGGGGATTGAACCAGTGGTCACAAACATGCTAGATAAATGCTCTACTAATAAATAAAATAAAAGGCATATCAGAAATCATTATGAACAGATAAGACCAGGCAGAAGAATGAATTTTCCGGATGGATGACAAGGTAAAGAATATAACACATAAGGAAATACATACAGAAAACATTAATACACACAATTAAAATTAAGGAACAAACTTGGGAAGTCATGGATACATTCAGGAGACCAAACCTAATAATAGCCCATACAGTTGAAGAAGGAGCAGAGATTAAGTCAAAATCCTTAGACAACATATTCAATGAAATTATAGCCAAGAATTTTCCAAATTTAGAGAAAAATATACAACCAAACAAAGTACTAACTAAAAAGATGTACAGGGAAAATGCCAACTCAGAGACAGAGGCAAAAATGTTTGCATAACATCAGATCTTTCATCAGCAACACTAAAATCCAGAAAAGCATAGAATGTTATATTTCAAGCTATGAAAATACTCATTGCCAGCTGATACTGGTATTTTCTGCAAAGATATATCTTAGGGTTGATTAAGAACAGAGGCCACTGAGACCAGGAAGTATGTGACAGGGAAGTCCCTATATAGACGGTCTGAGAGGGCAAAACACCCAAGAGCACATTGTATTACGCTGTGAAAATGAAGCCTGAATTGTGTTGGATACCCCAAGATGTGGATGATGCTAGAGTCATGAAACATCTGACAAGGAGAACTGCAGATAGGGAGGGGTAACAGCCCAAGAAAGAGATGCCTGTTGCAGGCAGCAAGGCAGGAGTGGCAGAGTCATATAACCCCCATAGCACCAGAAATGAGACTACATGATTTGATGTCTGCCCTGCTAGATGTTAGTCTCTCTTTGGTCCATTATTTACATACTATCCCCCCATTTCTCCATTTTGGAATGGTAATATGTATTCTTTGCCACTTGATGCTGGAAGTATGTGATCTGCTTTTTGATTTTATAGGAGACTACAGATAAGAAATTTACTTGGGTCTCAGAAGAGACATTGGACTCTTAAATAGTTTTGAGACTGTCACAGATTGTGAGGATTTTTAAAGTTTGTCTACAGGCATTTTGTATTATCACGTGGCCATAGACATATCAGGGTCAAAGTGTGGAATGTCATGACTCGAATGTCAATGTCCCTACAGGTTCATTGAGTTTTTGGTCCCCAGTTGGTGGCACTGTTTAGAGAGATGGAATGTTCTTTCTGGAGTAAGTACATCACTGGGGTTGCCCTTTGAGAGTTTGTAGTATCACCCCAGTTCCAGGTTCCTTTTGCTGCATTATGTTTGATGTTGAAGAATGTGATTGATCTCTCACCTTCCTGCTTCTGTTGCCGGGCCCATGCTTATGTCCCAGCTTCCCTGCCATGACACACTCTCATCCATCTAGAACCATAAACTCCTTGTTCTTTAAGCTCCCTTTAGTCATGGTGTTTTATCACAGCAATAGAAAAGTGACTGCTATAATAAAGCATATGTGTTTAGAGAATAATCTATTTGTTACAATTTTGGGGTTTTTAAAAATGTATTTCAAAGTATTTTCTAATAATCCTCCTGATTTCGTTGAAGTCTATTTTAACAATTCCCTTTAATTCATCTTTAATATCAATAATTTGAGGCTTCTTTTTCTTTCAGTTATTTTAACTAGAGTGTTTGTTCATCTTAATCTATTTAAAGAACCAACTACTTGGTTAATGTTGTGTATTGTTGTTTCAGTCTGTGCTTCACTTATTTCAAATCCTAAACTTTATTGTGTCTTCTTATATACTGAATTTGGGAATGACGTCTTTTCTCCCTAGATCCTTGAGGTGTATATTAGTTACTTTTCTACTAAATGGTGAAACATCCTGACCAAGGTAACCTACAGAAGGAAGAGGATACTTTGATATTACAGTTTGAAAGGGTTACAGTCCATGATGGTGGAGTGAAGCAGTTGGCATACATCATGCAGTTGAGAGCACATAACTGTGCAGTTGAGAGAATAAACTGTGGAGGGGAACATAGCACATGGCTTTTGAAAGCTCAAAGCCCACCCCCAAGGACATCCTTCCTCCAGCAAGATTATCCCTCGTAATACTCCTCAAATAGCAACCAACTGGGGACCAAGTATTCTAAATCCCAAGACTCATGGGAGTCACCTCACTCAAATTACTGCATTCTGCTCTCTAGCCTTAAGAGTCTGTTGACCACATCACAGTGCAAAATTCATTTAGTCTAACTTCCAAAGTCCCTATAGTCTTGCACAGTCAGAACACTATTTAAAAAGTCCAAAGTCTCTTCTAATTAAATTTATCCTTGTGATTATGTTGACCAATCAGAAACATTACAATTAAGACATGCTCTTAATTGTAACATTACAATTAAGACACTCTCTTAATTGTGATGTCCTGTAAAATCAAAAAGCAATTATATTTAACATGTAATAACACATAATATACTTTACCATTATAAAAATGAGAAATGAGGCATAGTAAGAAAATACTAGACCAAAGAAAGACTGAAACCCAGAACAACAAACTCCCAAGTCCTCTGGTCCATAGCTCCATGTCTGATGTCAGAAAGCTTACATGGCTCTACCCCTCTGATTTTGCTGCCCACAATACCATTCCTTGTCAGTATGTTTCCTCTCCCTTTCTACAGTGGCCTTTTAGGACCACTTGCCCTCTTAGAACGTTCATGGATGAACTTTCTTGCCAAACTTTGCCTGTCCTTACAGGGTATTTGAAACCACAGGTGAAGAATTCATGACCCACTAACTTTTGTATCCTTAATTCTCCCAAGTCAGTCCCATGTAGACAATCCTGCCAAGTTTGACTGTCAACTTAATTTTATTATCTCTAGAGATACATGGAATGCATTTTATAAAGTTCAACATGGTTTAATTAAAGTTCAGAAAAAAATCAGGAATATATGGGACATACCTCAACACAATTAAAGTCTACATATGAACAGTCTGCAGCCAACATTACACTAAGTTGAAAAACTTAGAGCATTCTAAAATATGAAATGAGATAAAGATGTGTATCACCTCCAGTTTTATTAACTATAGTGCTCACAGCTGGGTGGTGCTGGCACACACCTGTAATCCCAGCACTTGGAGGCAGAGGCAGGCAGATCTCTTTGAGTTCGAGGTCAGCCCAGTCTACAGAACAAGTTCTAAGACAGAGTCCAAAGCTACAGAGAAGCCCTGTCTTGAAAAATAATGAAGTTTCAGGATACATAATCAACATATAAAATCAATATTTTTATATATACAACAATAAACTTGCTGAACACAAAATGAGAAAAAATATACCATTCTCACTCCTGGGCATATACCAAAAACTCATGAGAATATTTGCATATCCATCTTTACAGTTGCTCTGTTCACAACCAAAAACAATATTAGCCTAAATAACCACCAACAGATGAATGGAAAAGAAAAACACATTATATATGACAAAGAAATTTTACTCAGCCACAAAGAATAAAGTGAAATGTCAGGAAAACGTATGGAACTAGAAAATATGTTAATTGGAGTAACCTAGGGTCAATAACATAAATGTTAAATGTCTTCTTCTCATATGTAGATTCTAGATCCTAATTTTTAATGAATGTGTATTTTGTAAGAATGAGTGAGATAAAAGCCAATGAGAAGAAAAAAGCAGTAGTGTGTGTGTGTGTTGTTTATTTGCTATAATGTACATGTGTGTGCATATGCTTGCTTGTGTGTGCTCATGTGGAGACCAAAGGTCTTCTTTAGACGTTTTCCTATTGTACTCTGACTTAATTTTTGATTTTTTGAGAGAGTGTATCTTGTTCACTGTCTTGACCTGACTGGCTGGCCAAGAAGGCCAGAGGATTCACCTGTCTGTCCCTGAACACTGGCAACAGATTCTCATGACCGTGTCTGATTTTTATGTTGGTAATGGGGATGTGAACTCTGGCTTTGTTTGCACACCAAATTTGTTGACCACTGAACCATCTACCTAACCATTCCTCTAAAAGAAAACAAGAAAAACTAGTTTTAAGGAGGGGGAGGGGAGGGGATACAACACATGTGACATGAAATTGTAACTACAGGAAGGATAAGTATACAAGTGGCAGGAAGGCAGAATGCTGTGGGGGAGAGAAAAATCAATCAAAGTAAAGTATGATTAATATGTTATTTTGAGTGCTAATTATAATTAAATGAAAGTAGATAAAAGAAGTGCATCACCTATCATTCAAATGTGTCATTGAAATTATGAGGAATTAAAGTCCAGTAACAGATAATGATTTGACTAACTTCACTGTATTAACTTTTCTGTGACTGACATAAAAACTTACCACAATTTTGTATATTAAAATGACATAAACATGTTATCTTATACTTAATGGAAAAGTCTGATATAATTATTAGTGAGCTAAAATCAGGTGCCAGTAGTGCTGCAGTCCTTCTGGAAGCTTTGTAGAAGAAGCCATTCCCTGATGCTTTCCTCTATGTACAAGATACCCACATTCCTTAGCTTCTTTCATCTCTTTTTAAAATTAACAGTGTAATGGGTTCAAATATCCCTCTGACTCTTACCTTCTCACTTATCTCCTGCCTTCACTATTAAATTGATCCTTATGATTACACTGAGCCCATCAGAAACATTAATGACACTCTCCATATTTTAGCCACAGATAACAGTCTTAATTCTGCCTTTAGCCTTAACTCTTCTTTGTATTGCATATAGTTCTAGAAATCCATTAGCAAACATCTTTGGAAAAAGGATCATTATCTGGCCTATACAGCCATACAGCAAATAAGACTGAGGACTGAAATCTTTGTACAGTGTATTCCTATTTTCATGCCTGTATTAGTTACTTATCTCATTTCTGCAACAAAATACCTGACAAAAGCAACTTAGGGAAGGAAAGGTTTGTTTGGGCTCATAGCTCAAGGCACAGTTGATCATGGCAAGGAAGTAGTGGCAGATAATCACATCACATCTGCAACCAGAAAGCAGAGAATGCTCAGCTTGCTTTCTCTTGTTTATTCTATCCATGATGCCACAGAAGCATGGTGCCAAAAGTTAAGGTAATGCCTATAGGCTTGTCTCCTAGAAGCATCTAGGTTCTTTCAGGTTGACAGTATTAACTCTCAAGGTACACTAGATTTCTAAATGGAACTATTTTTGAGGGAAGAGGAAATTGGGAACTTGAGCCAAAGAGTACTACAGTGAAAAGAGTCTTCATAGCTTAAAGTAAGTTGCTAGAATCTCATGAATATAGCGATTCTGAATAGCTGATGAGTCAGAATGCCCCTTTTTTATATTAAGGAAAAGTGAAGGCCTCCTGTCTTAGCCCCATGGAAAGAATGGAAATCTGGCTGTGGCCACAAAGAGCAATCAACCAGTGGGACTATGAGAATTTGCTTGACATAGGACCTCTGACATTTATCAAGATTTTCTTAAGAATGTGGAATTTTATTTTTCTCTCTGGCAAGCTCAGAACCTCAAGATGCTCTAGGCTGATACTTCGAGTTTCTTTTATCCCAAGGCCAATTTTTGTTTATTTGTCTGCTTTTTAAAAATTTAACAAACATTTTACTGAAACATAGTATATGAATAATGTATAGGTAAATTAATATTTCAAATCTAAAACATGTGCATACTTCACAACCACATGACCTGTTGTCTAGTCCTCACCAAATGATTTATTTTCCTAGTCATATTGCCATGTATTATTTTAAGCTGTTTGTACTCTTATGAAGGAATAAAATGATGTATTTTATGCCAGTTTCTTTTACCCAGTGTGTTAATCAGTCAGTGGTGCTTTCATATGAATATAATATACATATGTTATATGCAAATATATTTCCGTCATTATTGATTGGTATGTATGTGTTGTGTATGTGTGTGTGTTTAACAATGAATTTATTTTATTCTTGAATGTTAACTGAAAAATTTCCCATTTGGACCATTACTAATAATTCTTGGATAAACAATATTGCATCATTGAAACATGTAAGCACTAGCTGTACAAGAACCTACCATGCAGACCAGGTCAACCTAGACTCACAAAGATCTGCCTGCCTCTGCCTCCCAAATGCCTGGATTAAGGTATACACCACCATTCCCACCCAATATTGTCTTTTAAAAAGACTATTACATGAATATTCAATACTTTTATTATAACTTCTTGATTCTGGAGAATTTCATATATGTATAAAATGAAAACAATAAATGATAATATATAAAATGAGATATGATCATATCCACTTCTAATTTCTCTCTTCCAACCCCAACCATATATTCTGCAAACTGACCCCTCCTAACTTCATGTCTACATTTAAGATAACCCACTAACCTGATTAGTACCACCCAGATGTATATGAGTTTGGGTCCATCCACTGGCAAACGGGAAACCTCTCGGTGGGAACACACTGAAAAAAGAATGAATCTCTCTCCTCCAGAATCTATCTTCAGTAAGGAGTAGGGCCTTTTACGATTTATGCAGTAACTTTTGACTTGATCTTATATCAGTCTTAGCAGATAACTGTAACTGCTATACTACTGTGAATTCATTAATTCAGTAGCCTTGTCATGTCCAGAAAACAGCATTTCACAGCACTCTTCCTCATTGCCTGGCTCTTAATATTTCTGATCTCTCTTTCATGATGTACTTTGAGTCTCCCATCCCACCCCTGTGTGTGTGTGTGTGTGTGTGTGTGTGTGTGTGTGTGTGTGTGTGTGTGTGATAAAGATATACCATTTAGAAGTGAGCACTTGAGCTGGTAAGATGGCTCAAAGGTTAGGAGCGCTGGCTGCTCTTCCAGAGGAACCGAGGTCAATTCCCAGCAATCACATCGCAGCTCACAACTGTCTGTTACTCCAGTTCCAGGGGATCCAACACCCTCACATAGACATAAAGCAGGCAAAACACAAAAGCACATAAAATGAAACTAGAAATGAAACCTCAGCCTCTTCTTAGCTCTTTCACCAATTATGTGTCTCTGCATTGATTGCTGTCAAATGCAAAATAAATTTCTTAGTCCAATACTGAGAGAAGCCTAGTTTTATGGGTATAATGTTCAGATAGAAAATTGAATATTTACAGAAATAAAAACAGCAAGTTCTACTCTAGAGTCTATGATACACATCACCATCCCCCTGAGGAGACATGAACTTTTGTTCAGGATTACAATACCAGGCATGATATTCCCTCCTGTAGAGCAGCTCTCAGTTCCAATCAGAAAGCTCTTAGTTTTCCTATACTGGTCTTGCTACTATCATGCCATGGGCATACCTTGCCTGGTATGTTGGTATTGTAATGCACAAGGTTCAGCTGTGGGTAAGGCCTTTGACTATCCTCATCTTTAACCAAATACCACTTAGTCTTATTTTATCTTTTAGAAAGGGACCTGACAATCTCTGCCATCATATGCATCGTCGCTCTTTGCTGCATAGTGGTTGTCACCATAGCTTATATCATGTTCTGCTGCAGAACATTCCGACAAGGTGAGTGTTAAGTAGGGATGGTTGGCTTTTGTTCATTCATTCTTTCCAATAGTATACATTCTATATGAGGCAGTATGCCTAACATTCCAATGATCTTGAAGACTGCTTTTAGAAAAATGGTAGAATTAATATGAGACAGATACTTATTGTCTCTGCAAATAATGAAACAGAATATAAAAACCCAGGGTGCCCAGCCAAGTGCGACTATCTTTGTAATGAATTCTTTTGCAAGAATGGAAGAGAAGCTGCCCTCAAGTTGCTTGCAATTTATGTGAGGATTTCCAATTTGCAGCATAGAATTTATCAGTAGCATATATTGCAGAAAAATTGATGATTCAAAATGTAGAGAAGACAATATTGACCAAATACTGAAGAGAAGGGAGTCAGAACTGGAACAATCACTTTCAAAAGGTGTAACTGGATCTGGGTCATACTGAATGAAGGCAATATGTGAAGGGACAGTATTCCAGGAAAGTGAAACCAAGTAAGCAGAAATATAAAGGCCTAAACTGCAAATGCTGGTGGAACATCACAAAGGAAAATGCAGTTAGATAAACGGTAATGAAATACAGGGGAGAATGAAGATTTCTTTCTAATCATAACAGGTTTTGAATTACAGCCTAAAGAATTTCTTCACTAGGCCTTGCCATGGCCCTAAGATTAACCCAATTGTTTTGATTAGGGAAGTAGCATGATGAAGAAGCTATTTAATGAATATGGAAAACATAAAATTGAGGGGAATTGGGATGTTTGCTTCTAAGAAAACCTTGGTTATAATTCAGTACCCCTGCACTAGTAATTTTGCCTAGAGTTTGCTTGTTTATTTTTCTGTAGCATCTTCAACTCATAAACATCTTTTGTGTTGTGGATCACTTTAATCAAATAGAAGGGAATCTTGTCTATCTCCTTTGCCAGAGTCCCAAGTATAACCTATGATGTTGGCCAGTTACCATGACTGTGATCCATCAGGATGATCTTGGGAGTGGAAATTCCTCAAACAGCCACAAATACCAGCTCCGTTTGAAGAAAACCATTCACCATAGTCTTGCTGAGGCTAAGACAGTAACTATATATCATTTTCCTCTTAAAATATTCCCAAATATTTCATAGTTCCTAGTAGCTCAAGGGAATAAAAAGTCACATTATATCCTTCTTTTTAAGACCCTCTATGATGTGGGTCTAGCCCTATTTTCTTCCTGTCCACTCATCCCTTTTGCTTATTCTCATTGTAGTCACTAGATTCAGACAAGCAACTAAAGCTTTCACAACATGTCTTCTTTTTACCCTTCTTAGTTTGCCTTCCCAGAATTTCTGCTTTCTGTTTCTCTTTAAGAAAGACAGCTTCACCCGGGTGTTGGTGGCTCACGCCTTTAATCCCAGCACTTGGGAGGCAGAGGCTGGTGAATCTCTGTGAGTTTGAGGCTAGCCTGGTCTACAGAGCGAGTTCCAGGACAACCTTCAAAGAAAAACAGAGAAACCTTGTCTTGAAAAGAAAAGAGAAAGAAAAAGCAAGAAAGACAGCTTCAGAGCAGTGATTCAATTTAGTCTGTAGTTACTGAGCATAGTTTGTATTATAGATACTGTATATGTAAAGATAAAAAACAAACAAATAAAAGACTTGGGAGTACAGAAGCCCCCACTCCAGTGGGGGAAATAAAGCATGGAAGTGTGGGTGTCTACAAAACAAAACAAAACTTCTATGGTTTGCATTATTATCTCTCTTGTAATTTAGTATATGAATTTCCAATTGCTACCCTGAAAGATAATACGCACCTAGAGGAAGGAGTGCTATATCGAGAAATACCCATCTTTGTGCCAGGCTAATCCTCTGGGATAGAGGACAGTTCTCCTTCAAAAACACTAAGGAGCAATGATTATCTAGTTGGGGTTCTTTTAGTTTTAAGATTGTTAAGTAATTATATTTTATTAATTCAATGAAAAACCAACTTTTCCATATATGATATAAACCCTTCCACACACCAAACAGAATATCAGCCTGATATTCTGAGACAGAAATGGCAAAGGGGATGGAAATCAAGCATGTGTGCCTTCCACTTCTCTGACGAATCTATATCCCTGTATCTCTCAATACTAGAAAACTGGTACCTTGAATTCTCTTCTGTTTCCTTCCCCCCGGTTTTGGACTGGTACTGAGGTTTCATGCTTAGATCTTGTCTACTCTCCAAATAAATTTCTAACCTGATTCTTCCTTGTTTTCTAGAACATGTCTATGAAGTGAGAAGGTAAGATGGTATCTCCTTTTCTAACTTATTAAACATTCCATGCCATAAATCCTGTTGATCATTAGCAGAAATCCTGGTGACTAGTCTTAACAGAGTCCCTCAGGGTCAGAAAATATTTTACCCTCTCAGATGAATGTTCTCATGTTGCATCCTGGATCGATGAATGCACAAGATGATTACTTTAGAAATGCCAACTTTCTCTGCCTACAATCCCTGTCTAACAGGATTCTGGGAGTCAGTGAATAAGAACTTAGGAGGTAGCATGCTAGAAAGCAGGATCTAAGTCCAAGGTCTTTCTCATGAGTATCTGGGTGTTGGTCCATAGGGTGTGTGCCAAGGAAACCAACAACTCTGAAGAAACAACCTTCGAGAATGGGTTCTTCAGTGTTGCACCAGATTCCCATGCTCTGATCAATGACTATTCTGATGAGCCCTGCCTGGGACCGGAGTACCAAATCACCACGCAGTTCAACAATGACTCTTCCTGCCTTTTTCACACAGTTCCCAGAAACTCTGAAGTTCTTGCTACTGAAGACAATAGCATCAGCTAAAATGCCCCACTAAGGAAGGTTTACTAACATAATTGCTTATGACTTATTTCATTCTTGCCTTCAGCATAGCTTTCTTCCTTGCTTCCTTTCTTCCTAGATAACCTAAAGTATCAACTCTGCGAGTGTTGGAGCCACTGGAAAATCCTGGTTTGGCTAAGAATTTACTTATGCACCTCAAGAAAGCTAGCTTCTGCATTTACCCTGAACCTTTCTATGTTCCAGCCTGGGGCCTCCAAAACTCCTATGCAAACACCAGAGAAATTCCCATAGCACTAGAGGTTCTCCTTAATGTCTCAAAGCATCACCAGAAAAGCAGATGAGGCTCAGTCTTACCAACTCAAACAATAATCTATGTCCATCATTGCATCCCTCTCTCTAGTGCCAGAGGACTTTTAATTAATACTGCTAAATCACAGGCCAAGGTACAGATCTGTTCCTAAACTTTGAATCTAGTGCTCCTGTATTCTTTTGGTATTAATAAATATTTTGTCGTGACAGCAACTACAGTTATGTTTGTCTTCTCTCAAGACACAGTAGGACCTACTAAAAATGAGACTAAATAAGATGGCAAGCACCCCTAGAAATATAGATCACTCACTTTTCTGCTGTGTGTGTGTGTGTGTGTGTGCGTTACAAGAAATTTAACGCAGGGTTAACCAAGTAATCTATGACTGAACTATATTCTTGTAATCTAATTACTTTTTATTTGTATGATATCTCATTAATTTGCACAGGCTTGCCTTTATTTCATTGCCTAGGCTTTGAACTTGCCAGCTACCTTAGACTTCCAAGTAGCTGGGATTATAGGTCTGTGACATTAGGCCAAGCTATACCTTTGCTTTTCATTGTTGTCAGTTTGGTTTTTGGTTACTTAGCCATTCACATTTCAACACATGCCATTTCCCTTTTCACACTACAGATAGCCCTATCTAAAGCAAATCAATCTTTTCTTAAGCAGTATTCTACATAATATGTATTCCCCACTCATCTTTCTTTCAGCTCTACTTGGGAACTCATCTCAGGGCAATGGGAAGTTTGGCAAGAAGCCCCTCTTCTTTCTCCAAGGACTATGAATGTATCTATTTAGTAGTTCCCTTCTTTTCAAAGTATGTGTGTATCAACACTAAAATCTTTGGGTTAGTTCAATGTTCATTGGTCATCTTCTGTAACACCTCAACTCATTTTACAATGTGGAAATGGTTAAGACTGACAGATTTTTTTGAGGAAAGGGAAGGTAAGGAGAGAAGGGAAGAGAAGGGAAGGGTAGGCAAGGGGAAGAGCGGTAGGAGAAGGGAAGGGGAAAGGAAAAACTATGTATTTAAGTACATTTGAAACAAAAAACATTGTGAAGAAATTATTTGGGGCCAGGTTTGCACTGTTCTAAGCTCCCCATGTATTTTATTTCAAATCAACTTCCTTACTATTCATGAAAATAGTATATTTCCTGTTTTCTGTATGGGATCAGATCAGATTTCAACAAGAGCTGCTCTCACTTTGAAATGTTTACAAAAAACAAAATAGTACACAAAAATGAAGTAAGAATACTCCCCATTTCACCCCTACTGATGTTGCCAAGTCCATGATCAAAACCTCAGCATTTCTTCTTTGCTGAATGCTAGCTACACATAATTAGTGAGAACAACTTCTTCTTCTCCATTTCACTTACAAACCCCCACAACAGGAGTCCCACCCAATAGAAACTTCAGCTTCCTTCATGAAACAGCTCTGTGTCCAGCTTCCCAAACCTGTGAAAACACTCATATATCTTATTCTGCTACAAAATAAGGAGGAAGAGGAGGAGGAGGAGGAGGAGGAGGAGGAGGAGGAGGAGGAGGAGGAGGAGGAGGAGGAGGAGGAGGAGGAGGAGGAGGAGGAGGAGGAGGAGGAGGAGGAGGAGGAGGAGGAAGAAGAAGAAGAAGAAGAAGAAGAAGAAGAAGAAGAAGAAGAAGAAGAAGAAGAAGAAGAAGAAGAAGAAGAAGAAGAAGAAGAAGAAGAAGAAGATCATCCATCCCTGGGCTTGAGGAGAGAATTTTCATTGAAATTGCTCTAGTAAAATTAATATCAAATTCAGAGAACCCTCTACATAGGAACCATCAGGAATATGTCCCAATCTTTCATTGAAAAAGCTTAAAGATTACACATCAAAGCATGCACATATCACAAATTGGGAAATGAAACCCAGAGATAAATGATGACTTGTCAAAAATAACATACATCAAGGCAGAGGCCGAACAAAGACTGGAAGACAGACCCATGAATTTTTAGTAGTGTGCATACATTGCTGCAGATGTCTTTTGAAGATGGTCTTTGCCCCTAAACTAAGATGTTTTCCCATGCAAGATAAGCCAGTAAGTCATTCCTATACAGAGCAGAAGCCTTTAGGCTTTTCTAAGCAAAAGTGGGTTGAAAAGACCGGTCTTGCCATTTAGGTGGCTGCCTGGTAAGTGAAAGTAGGTGTCTCCAGAGCAGAGGGAAAGTGTGGAATTTCTCTAGAGAAGCTTCCAAATTACATATCATGAAATGTTAGAGTCTGGAGATAGATGTTGGCAACCCTTTTCTACAGTTCTGTATTAAAAGTTCACTCAGTGTCACATTAGAATATTAAAGGCTCAGAAAATTCTGTTAAAAAGTTCCACATAAAAAATAATTCCAAAATTTATTTGCTCTCTGAGTCTATATTTTACCCTCCTTCTCCAGTCCTAAATCTTATTTCTCAGGGGAAAAAATCCATTTAGTTATTATTTGTATACACTATAGCATTAGAATATCCACAGTTTGGTTTTTTTTTTGTTTTCAAAAAACCCTGGTTAATATTTGACCCACATACCCAAAAGCAATGGACTAGTAGACCATCAGCTAATTGGTAAACATTTATTAAATAAATTATAATCTTGGACAATGGTAGGAAAGACAGCAACCAAGTAAATATAATATGCTCTAGGCTCTTACAATGTAATAGGGAATTCAAAAATATACCCTGGAAAAATTCATTGACCATTTAGGAGGATATATTGGGTGGTAGGAAATATAAGAGCACATCTCTGTACCTAATCAAGGAGTAAAGAAAAAGTATAGGTTGACTTTCAAAATTTCCCAGAGAGATTGAAACTTGCGGCAGGGATGGAGTGGGGGGTGGGGAAGTGGAGGAGGGGGGACAGAAAGTACATACATGGAAGAATTGGGTGTGTGAAGAGAAGCAGGAAGTGTGCTTTAAGAGGGAGAAAACCAAGGAGAAAAAGATAAAATGTAGGTAAGGTCAAGATGTGCTCCAAAGGCAAGAAAGTGGATTTATTTCTATGTCCTACTTTCTCATCCAAGTCATGATGCGTGTATGAAAATTCTGGTGCTCTATCTGCAAGAAGAGAAATGTGAAAGAAGATACTAATAGACATTAATAATAAGTCAAATTTCTCTTCCTTCCCAGTATCCCTTATGTATTTTCAATACCATTAGGCATTCCATGAAATTCTCACAAGGTATGTAGATATATCCCAGATTTGTAGGCCCCAGAGCCGCGTCTTTCTCATTCTGACATCCCCTGATAAAATGTTCCAGTTCCCTCAAAGCCATAGAGCAATGAGAGAGCTGGGTGTTTCATAAACTTTCGTATACAGCCAGCAGACTATTCATTCTGTCCTGGGCCTGGAGCTGATAGGCATGAGCCACACTTGGGGTATTTGACAAACTGACACTCTACCACACAGAGTGTCTAACTCAGCTTGTCAAATACACGGAGCGTGACACTGCAGAAGGCCAAATCAGGAGCTTCCACAGGGCAGCAAGCGCATCCTGGAAGACATGCACCTGGAAAGACAAGTAATGTGCTGATTAAGTTATACCCTGAGCCTCAGGTAAATGGCAAAGGCTGACATGACTGGCTGAAAGTCCAAAAGAGGGAAGTAAGCAAAATAGGCCTGAGGCTCCAAACCCAAACAGGAATCCTGAGTGTTTGCCTGGAGACTACGGTGGCCCAGCCACTGTTAACTGTTCAGTTGAAATGGGGCAGTTTGGCTGTCATCTTGCCTCCCTGATTTTAAAGGCCCCCGAGACAATATCCTTGTTCCTTTTCCCTGCTGGCTTCCTTTACACTGTGTTCTCATCATTCCAGTTATGTACCTAGACTCTGAGTCTCAAAAATGGGCTTGAATTCTAGCTCTGCCATTAACTAGCTAGATACCTTAGATAAATGATTTTATGTCCTGGACACCTAGTTTTCTACAGCCACAAGAGTGTGCTTGAAGTCATTGTGAGAATATGTAATAAAGCATATAAAGCCATTAATTTAGTATTTGCTATGTAACAAATGCTCAAAACTTGTTATAGCCTGTTATGATAGTACAAGCCTGAATAGTATCTTTCATAGACAGAGGTAGGAGAACTTCAGGTTCGAAGCCAACCTGAGCTATGTAATACGACCCTATATCAAACAAAAAGAAAAAACAAGGCCTAGGGATAAAACTCAGTGGCACAGCATTTTGTTCAGATGTACAAAACTCTGTATTTGATCCACTATATAGAAAGTGACTAAAATGTGTTTCAAAAAATAAAATAAATAAATGAAGTAAATACTAACATGAAAAAAAATTAATGACAATTTGTTTAACAGAACTGAAGCAGCAATTTCTTGGGATCTTAGCCAGCTTTCTCATAAATAATAAGGAATGAATACTACTAAAAATCCTTCATAAGTTTTACCCACACAAGATTATAAACGAGAAAATGAAGCTTGGGGAAAGACTTGCTATAGGTCATACGATAAACTGTTATAGTTTGGAGGTTGTATCGTACATCATCTCATGGTGTCCTCAGCTTTCCTCGCCATCACTTTTTCCTATATTTTTCTTCTATCCCCCTGCAAAAAGGGAAAAGAACAGCAACACAGAGCAAAACAGGCCAGTGGATTTTGCAGGGCAGCATTAAGCTCTTTGAAGTCACAGACACTGGGGCAGTCAGGAAGCTGCCAGAAGAGTCACACCTGGAACTACTTTGTAATTTTCTTTTGCATCACACAAATCCTGTTATTCAAAACTCCAGAATGCTGGTATTGAGTTCTGTCCTGCCCAGATCTAAATGTAGGCCTCAAAAAAGTAGATGGACTCTATTAAGCATTGGCACTAAAAGTGGCAAACATTCCAAGATTACTAGGAAAGGAAAACTACCCTATATGGTATCTCAATAAGAATTGAATTAGCTGAATTTAAGAGGTTAACACATCATTCCAACTTAATGACTTAAAAACTAAAGATCAAAATTGTCTTTTCTACCCCCTAACTTTTCTCCCCAACTTCCAATCCAGCCTACATCTCCCAGAAGCATGACTTTCAGGCAAAGCAGCTGTCATGGCTACAATGGTATGGTGGAAAGAATCAGACAAAATTAAATACTGATCCTAGCCAATTGCAGCTGGGATGAGTCTTTTGTAGGCTTCAATTATCTTCTCTAGAGATAGAGACAGAAGTGTTAAATGTCAAGGTGGTTGAAATTGTCTGATGAGATTTCTCTAACTTTTTCTAAAGGTGCTTAGAGTGACCTTGCTTCTGAAAATGGAGCTAGTGAAATCCATGGAAACTGATGAAGAGTTTCAGTTAACAGTGGCAAAGAAAAGAGCAATGGACTGTTGTTGTTTCCTGCCATCACCTCTACTGCCTATCACCTGCTGTAAGAAGAGTTGGACATTCCAGATGTATCCATAGCTTCCTGGATAACCTACCTGACCTCGTACATCCCAGGGATCCAGGAAAAGAGGTATGAGAGGGGTTAAAGAGCCAGTGCACTGAATAAAAAGATGATTAGAAATACTGTTCCCCGGCACTGGTGGAAGGAGTCAGTCATTAAGCTGAATCTAGGCCAGTGTCATTTTCACTCTTGACGTTTCAGTTCACACCTGTTCAAAGGAGTACATAGAAGAAAAGCAAGTTCAGCTGAAATAAGGTTAGTCAGACCCATAGAATGAAGAGATAGATGACTACATGGGGTGATAATTTAAGGATTCTTAAACTCTTCTATTTGTCATTATCTGATTTAAAATAGCATCATTTATCCCCATGAGAGCAAAAAGTCCTCCATTGAAAAGCTCCAGAAAGCTGCTCTCAATGAGACCAAGAAATGATCAGTCTTCATGAAGGAAATTGGAGGACAAAAGTTTAGTAAAAGAACTATGAGGTTTTACACAAAGATCTATAACTGTCCAGAATAAGTCATATATCAGGAAATAGATTAGTGAAAAAGAAATACTCAGGACCATGCCCGAATACCCAGATCTCTTCTAATATAAGGAGAGCCTCAGTTGCAGGGCACCTCTAACTTCTTGGTGTCTCAGTCCTCCTACAGCAGGGCAAAAGAGTACTGGCCTGTGATTAGACTGAGCTTTGTTGTAGGTTCTTTGTGTGGCCTTGGGCAGTTACCTTCCCTCTCTAGACCTCTGTTGCTCACTTGCATATTTGTTCTCTTTCTACTCCCAAACTTCCTTCTATGTGCCTTTTAAATTCTAAGATTAGAGTAGCGAAATACAAGAGTAGAAAAGAAACTTTCATGGCTCAGCCGTACCTTTCATATCAACACAGTTTTCCAGGGTATGTTCAGAACTGCCTAGAGGTAACCATTTGAGCATCAGTCTCATCCCCTTTCTCATAAGAAGAGATGTAGAGACTAAGTCATTAGACAGCACTCCATCGTTGTCTTCCTCTTCTCTGAAAAAGAGATTTCAACACTGATCACTAGAATGCAGAAACGACTCACTCAAAGCAACGTGATAGATAAAGAAGAGAATAAAAAATGCTACTCAGCACTCCTAACTCCTGGCTCTGAAGAACATTTGACTTCTACATGACTGATTATCTTCTAAACACCATCATTTGTTAAGAATTATCACATCCCTTTTCTCAGCGATCACAAGCTCCAGGATAGAAAGCCAATAGTAAATTTCACCTGTCTTTGACCTGCATCCCTACCTATGATATGTTAATCAGTTAGGCATATTCACATCACAATTAGTTGCTGTGGGCACTGTCTCAGCATGGAAATCTAAGAGAATAAATGAATACTATACCTGGCATTGAAGTGGTGCCTTTGTCTTCGATGGGATATAGGTGTTGAATCGAACTATAGAGATCAGGGAAGGCTGAGCTTTATGTTGTGAGCAGGAAGGTCACATGTTCGGAAGGACTCTCTGTGTCATGAAGAGGAAACAGAAATGAGGAAGATAAAGTTGAGGCTAACCAACGGAAATCTGGGTACAAAATGACAAAACAGAGCTATTGTGAAAGGAGTTGCTAATGCAGCAATAGCCCCTACTGCTCTATCTCCACCCATTCTCAACCAACCTGCAAAGACACTGGCTTCCCATGCTACAGAGTGGGAAAGCAGGAAGTCACAAGTTGCCTTTGGGCTCTGCTCATGAGGCAAGGAGGTTTCCCTAGAGCAATCTTCAAATATCAGAGCTATGATATTATCTAATGAAAATCTACTGCCCAAATTTAAAATTTGAGGCAAGTTTGTATCAATTCTAAAATATGACACCACCCCATTTCCATAGTAACTATGTTAATCTTAGTCTGCAAGAATGCCTTCCAACCCTGGGATAGCACTTTTACTTCTTTCCTAGCACACAGAACCAGCTACACAACTCCCAAGGACTAACTGAAAATAAATGTGACAGGTTCACCCCCTTCCCCTTTTAAATACAAGTTAGCTCTCTTTGGGGGGTATGACTTTCCTTCCCATAAGTCTACATCCCAAACTAGAGAAGAGTTTAAAAGCATAACAAATGGAGAATGTAGCAATTTTGGCATTTTTCCTCCAGAAATGGCAGCACCTACTTGCTCCATCTTCAGAGCATCACCTTTGTGGAAGTAGAGGTGGCTACTATACCAGGCCTCAGTTGCACAGGGCCTGAGGCCTCTGCAAATACAACACAAAGGGCAGTTCTCCTGAGAAGCCAGCACCCCCTGGGCCATCTTGCAGATCATGTAATTCAGTATTTCCCCACTGTGGAAGTAAGTGAGTACAAACACAGGCCTGAACCTCATCACCACCTGGAATGTCTTCCCAGGGTGCAGCTTGATCTGAACTTCAGTCATGCCTTGAGGTACTCAGGAGTGCTACTAGTGGATTATTCCCTCCCTGTGAGTATCAGAGAGTGGGTATTCTCACTAGAGATACAGCAAGTGAGACAAACCATGTTCTGACCAAGCAACGGCAGGGAATGAATACTCTGGTAACTCTCTGCCACATGCTGTAAATAAAAGAGCTTGTCTAAGCAAACAACACTAGGAAATAATGGGGAAGGCAGAATTTACATTCAGTTTTTGTTCCAGATGTTAGGATTTTTTAAAATGTGTTTTAGTAACTTCAAAGAAGAAAAAAGGTAGCTAAAATAAATAAAAGATAATGTTATATCTTTAGGTTCAATGTGACCTTCAGGATGAGAAAGAGAGCTAAAGAGTTTGGGAAGATGATGAGTTGTATGCTCAAACCTCATGTATGCAATCCCTGGGAAGTTTTAATTCACAACTAGAAAGGTGATGGATTCTCATGTAGGACCCTCCACCTTAAATTCTAATGACACAGAGGATGAAGAATGAGGACAAATCCTGTGATGTTTTCAAGATCTACTTAAAATAAGTTTCAATGGTTGCTTGGGTTATGCCTAAACTAGTTTAAATAAGGCCCTGGGCAATATTCAAGCTTTTGTAAATAATCTATTCACGACATAAAAAGTTTTTAAAGTTCAAACTAAAGCAAAAAGACCACATCCTGAGAGTTAACAGTGTGAGGATCTAGTCTGAACTCTGCTCCTTCTCTAAACAGCACAGTTGGGAGTCATTGTTGTTCTCAGCCTCTCTGATTCAAACTTTCCATAGTTCCTTTATTAATGACTTTATACTTAATCATTTTTATTTATTGTGAGTTTACCTGTGGTTACAGGGCCTAAGGCTCTGAGGATAGCCTAGAATAGGGATCCATTTACATTAGCACTGTTTTGCAAATAACTTCCTTCCACCAGAATAATTTCTTAGCTTAGGCCCTAAGAACAGTGTCTCCATATTTGGCTTCTGGAAAGATTTGACTCTTGTTTCTTTTGGGTTTCTGACTAAAGCTTGGAATAGAAGCAAGGCAGTAAGCCTTTTTCTAAGAAGGGACTCTGTTCTCTCAAGTAACTCTGAAAAATTTACATTAAGCAACTCATTCGTATTGTATGCCCTAAATTAAGATCTTCTAGTAGCTATTTTGTTTTCCTCTGTGTGTGTGTGTGTGTGTGTGTGTGTGTGTGTGTGTGTGTGTGTGTGTGTGTGTGATGTTGGTAATTAAGATCATGATTTCTCATGTGCTAGACAGGTGCTCAGAGTATCTGAGCTGCATTCCTAGCCATCACCACTGGGTTATTTTAAACAATATACATCTGGAGACAACGATTTCACTAAAGGAATATTTAATGGTGTTCATTTTCAGCACTATAGAAGGTCCATGAAAGAGAGGAATAGAGGCCAGATAGCTGTTTATTAAGCCATCTGAGAAGAGAACAAAAACTACTTTACGCCCAAGAGTTGGTCTTTATCCCACAAGCACAAAACATGTTGACGAAGGCCCGACTTGTAACAAACAACAGCACAAAGGGGTTATTTAGTTATTTTATTTGAGTCAAAGCCTCTCTTTTAAATCTCTGGCTTTCAGGGCCTTTCTCAGGCTAGCCTCAAACTCAGACTGAAGCAATGTCCCTGCCTCAGCCATACAAGAGCTAGGATTGCATGTTATGTGTCACCACCTCCAGCAAAGGGGGCATCTTTCATTACGCCTGATATCCACACTGTTTCTCAGAGCACTGGAAAGTCAAAAAGATTTCCTATTTGAAGTGCTGTCTTCCATGGCTATGTTTGGGATGATAGGAAGATGAGGAAAAGGAGAAAAGAATAAGAAGGAGAATTCGCAGGCTGTGCTGAGGACCCATTCTGTGTATATATGTTCTTGTACTCACTCAGTGCTAGATGAGAAAGAACACCGAGACAGAGTCCTTCAACTCAGCTCTGTGATTCATTGTATGACCTTAAATAATTATGTACTAGCTGAACCTCAGTCATCATATCCTATTGAAGGATGCTCAGACTACAGGAGAGAAGGGAACAAAGAAACCGTGCTGCTCTAAAAAATGTGACAAATATCTGATAAAGGTACAAAGTGCCATCAGAAGTACAGGTTAAAATGTACAGTTCTTTCAGGATGGGAGACAGTTGACAAGTTCAACAGATTCTCAGAAGTGTAAGGTTTTAGATATGACTTAAAAGATAGATAAAATGATGCTGTTTTGTCACTAGAAAGTCCTCTTAATAACCTCCAACAAAGTCAGTAGTTGTCTACCTGCCCTTACGCATCACTTTTTATTAGAAACCCAAAGTGCAAAGTGGTCAAGACCATGCAGGGGAAACCCACAGAAACAGCTGTCCTGAGCAAGTAGAAGCTCATGGACCCCAGTCTGACAGCTGGTGAACCAGCATAGGAAGTGAACCAGGCCCACGGAACGTGGGTGTCAGTTGGGAGACCAGGGCAGTCTATGGGAACTCTATCAGTGGAACCAGTATTTATCCCTAGTGCACGGACTTTGGAAGCCCATTCCCTATGGAGGGATACTATTGCAGCCTAGATGCATGGGGGAGGGCCTAGGCCCTGCCCCAAATGATGTGACAGACTTTGATGATTCCCCCATGGAAGGCCTCACCCTCCATGGGGAGTGGATGGGGTGGGATGGGGGGTTTGTGGGAGGCATGGGAGAACCAGAGGGAGAGAGAACTGGGATTGGTATGTAAAATAAGATTGTTTTAATTTAAACATAAAAAAGAAATTTAAAAAAGAAACTCAAAGTAAGGACCATTTCTAATCCTTCACTGTCTTCTGGAGGCAAGGAGTTCAACGTTTTTCTCAGGACTGTCAGCTGAATAAATGCATGGAAAAGTGCATAAGCAGATGAGGAAACCCTCCTGGCCTTAACTCTCCAACGCCCTGAGCTTATTTACCTCTGTGTGGGAAACAGGAAAGTACCTTTTTACTCTGAGTTCATTTCCTTGGTCGTTTCACCTCCACCTCTTTCGAAAAACCTTTGAGAGAAAGAGTACAAAGACAATTGCAAAGTTATGGCCACTTCCTGTGCAAGAGATGGCGGATGTCCACACACTCTACCTCAACCTCGATGATTGCTCTGCATAGGATTGCACTGGGCTTCCTGTGAGAGGAAACCTACAGGCTGATGCAATGTATATGGCATAGTCAGATCAGAATTAAAGAGCTTCTTTTGCACCTGAATCTGGGGACAGAGGTTTCACTGAGGATCCCTACACAGTCAGTGGTATCGGTAAAAGAAATTTCAACACTCAAATCAACAACAGCTGAAATTTATCCAATAAAGTTACATCAAATATTATTGCATGCAAAGCTTTGCATTTGGTGCCAAGGGAAAAATAAATATAGACCAGTAAAAATAAGCAATAATTTAGTAGAAACATAATGTGGCCACAACATGTTAATAACCACACTTTTTTTCAGGTTAGGGCTTCTCTGTGTTGCCTTGGCTGTCCTAGAATTCAATCTATAGATAAAGCTGGCCTTGAACTCAAGTATCTGCCTGCTTCTGTGCTTGTCTAACACACCCAATATGCTCAATTCTAGTCAAAGCACCAAAAAGGAAAAAACTACAGTGATAGGAAAGGACATGGATACCTTGTGTGAATAAAAGAGCTACTGATGCCTATAGTTGTATTAGAATAAGGAGGTAAATAATTGGATCTGCCAAAAGATTTCTTTTGAACTATGATCACAATAATGAAAATTTTGTGAACTCTCTGTGAGGCACTGTTTCATTTTTTAACATATATTTTTATATATTAGTCTAATGCAATTCTTACCATAGCCTAATTAGAGAGATATGGTAATCGTCCTTTTAAAATATACTATTTGTTTGAGAATTTCATACAATGTACTTTGATCATATTCACTCCCTTCCCATAACTCCTCTCAGATTCACCTCCACCTTCCTAATTGTATTCAATAGATGGCATAAGTAATGTCACAACTATCAAATGGCTTATGGCAATCCATGGATTAATGGAATCTTGAAGATATATATAAATATATATATATAGAGAGAGAGAGAGAGAGAGAGAGAGAGAAAGCTCGAGCTAAAAATGTTATG